GAAAAATGAGACTACTTGTTCCTTTTGCTGTGAGATCACTATAAATACTAGCTTGTCTCTTCTTTGGTCTCATACTCAAAGTCATGGGTACAGAGGAACATCTAATTACAGGATGTTGGCTTATTATCCTTTTTATATATGAACACATTTACAGGGTGGGGCATGTGGGAAAAGGAATAGTAGAGAGAAAGTGATGGGAGTCTTCTGAATATCCTAATGTGTTGAACACATACATGGCAAAGTAGTATAGGTATATGTTATTCAGGTGTAACTAATGGAGTGGAGAGAAATGCCATGAGTCATGTCATTAAAAACCGGATCCACAGTACTGGTATCTAGGACGATCCTCGGCTGGGATTTATGTGTGCTGTCACTACTTGTTCCTTTTTATGTTCCGCAAAGTATTACTGAGTGACACTGTGTACCTTATAGACTCTGGCAGCCCTCAGGGAACACAGACGTGCACAGAAACTGTCGTGGTTACTGCCTTATAGAATTCATAACCCAGAAGTGAGAACTGATGCTGAATCAAACTACTTGATACATGCAGAGGAAGATGTTAGAAAGGGACTGGTATGTATCTCCCTGTTAACACAGCAGGGCTGAGTACAGCTTTGATTCAGCCTCTGGTATCAGAGATAATGTCCTGAGGACAAGTAGTAGTAAGGATGAGGGACAAAGGAAGCCATGAGATGATAAGGAGGCCCAGTGTGAGGGGCTCCTGAATGAAGCCCTGTGGAGGCAGAGTGAGAGAGCATGCAGAAGACAGCTGTAGACCAGCCTGAGAGTAGGGAGGACCAGAGCAGAGTCCTCAGGGCCCCGAGGCCAAGGCCAAACCAGATGAGCTGGATGTCTTTGTTCACCAAGTGTACAGATGTCTGTCTGTGCTTATACAGGAGAGGGTAGAATACAAACACCCCCTCCAAAAGGAGAAGGGATCTTCATCACCTGCGGTTGATACTACCCTCATTGCAAATGTTTTGTCTATATTTCCTTCTGGGCTTTAGGTTATTTTCAAATGCTTAGCCCCTAAGAGGACAGAAAAGGGTTTCCTCATTTATGCTGAACTAACAGTGGCACCCTACAAGAGCCCTCTGTGCCCTCTCCTACAAAACGGGGGATGGTTTCCTCTGTCTAAACATAGAAACCCTGAGGTGCTGCAGAATCACCTGATACACTGGTTGGAATCTTGACTATCAGGCCCACCCTGACCTATGGGATCAGCATCTGTAATTAATGTTCCTAGACTGTTTGCCCATTAAAGTTTCAGAATACTGACATTTGCTGTGTACAAAGATTTGTATTTTTACATCTTACTGCTAGTATGTCACTTAGTACTTAGAATAAAGGTTCTCTCCTAGGATGTAAATGAAATTATAACTGTGTAAGCTGAGAAGCTGCAGATTTGATTCATTCTTGCTGAAAATCCAGGGATAGTACAGTCTTCCTTAAATGTTTTATAAAGCTCTTAAAAATTGATTTGCAGCCCTCATTAATTTATAAGTGTGAGTTAGAAAGGATTTTCTTTGGCTTTGGTCATGGCCATAGATTGTGCCTGTTAATTAAGGCCAGACTTTCCTTCCTCTTCCCCTGCCTTCCCTTCCCTCCCTACCCACCACCCCTGTTGAGTTTTATTGTAGAACCTGCTCTGAAAATAGCAGAGGAAGAGGAACACATTCCCACTTGGGCTGAAGCCCGGGCACCTCAGGAAGTGTCTGCTGGGTAACATGGAGACTGTGGGACAGCCAGGTTCAGGGTTCACAGAAATGATGCAACCTGCCAAGCAATAAGCTTAATTAATTTTTGAATCATTTGCAGTGCCTCGGATTATTTATGTCCTTCACACAGAGTCTTGTGTACATGCTGCACATTCTCTGTAAGGTTTGGGCTTCTACCTTGGCTGAACCTGGCCTACATAATGATCGCACTGGGAATTCTTGATAAGGTGGAGGTTTTTTTTTGGAAGGCACAGTTTGGATCTCAAACTCCAAGACACTAGATACAGGCTATAGAGTCCTGGAGTAACTGTGGGACTCTATACATGACCCACCTGCCTGCGGTTACATGGGAAAGACGGTCTACAATGTTATACTCTTGTTGACTAAAAGTCCAGGATCCAGATAGATGTGTCCAAATTTGAATTCATTCAAAGGCCAGCTTACAGACTCTTTGAGGATTTTTTGGAAATTGTGATGGTGAGTTGGAACTGTGGGCTCTCTCTTACAAGCTTTATTGACATGCAGTGCCAAGGCTGCTCAGTATTGCTGATGCACATTTATTCATTGTTATAAGGCACACTACGTTGTTGAAGTGCAACAAGTTTTAATTTTATATGGTTCACCTGATAATATGCAAGTCATCTGTCTCCGAGACTGCTTTGTAGACATGGGAAACAACTTGTAGGGGTGTATCAACAAATCTGCTAGGCTTTTTTAACTTGCAAACTCAGGACAGGTGTTTGTTGGAAAATCTACACGTGTTTGTCAAATTACGTGAAACTTTGTTTCCTAGCCATTTATTTCTGTCATAAACTGTGGATATCAAAGAGTAAATTAGTTTTAAGATGATAATTTTGTGAGCAACAGTAATTAGGAAATTAAGAGCGCAGGGTCCCATTCTTTACCTCCCTTTTTGCAGTAGGTTCTGACTTGTAGATATCAGCCTTCATTCAACATCTAGTTCTAAAGTGAGTGTGCTCTTTTGGTATATTAGTAATGGGGAGAAATTAAAATTAAATTCAGTAGCGCTTTATCTCTGTTTGTTCATTTAATTCTCTATGGAGATTTAATTTTAAGTCAACAGTCTTACTTTCCCTTAACCTCACAAACACTGGTGTACTTGGCCTAGGCACACCTTTAAAGAAAGCATAGAATAGTCTTTCCATGACCTTGTACATATGAAAGATGAAGTGTGTTTCATTGTTACATAATTGCTAGCTCTTCCTTGTGTGAGGGTTAGCCTCTCACACCATTATAGGTTGTCTTCTTTCTAGCTTCTTCCTCCCAACTTCTTGGCCTATAAGTTGAGAATCTGAAAGATTTTTCTTTATAAGAGACTGATAGATCACTTACTGTGTGAGAGCTTAAGTCTTAACCAAAGCCTCCAGTGACAGCTTACCAGAGACTGCCAACTGGAGTCTTCAAAGTTTAAACATGGTGCCCTTTGCCCCCATGGGTTTTTTTTTAATTAAGGTTTATTTGTTATATTTATGTGTAGGATTGTTTTGCCTACCTGTACCTATGTGTACCACATGCATGCAGAGGTCAGAAGGGGATGTCAGATGCTCTGGAACTGAAGGTCCAGATGGTTGTGAGCCACCATTTGAGTGGTGGGAGCTGAGCCCAAGTCCTCTGTAGGAGTATCAAGTGCCCTCAGCTGCTGAGCAGTGGCTCCATTTCTCGCTCCTGTGTTTATTAACTTCTATGTCCAGAGTTCACTGGTGGCATGGATTATTATATCCATCTCAAAAGAAAATAGTTTTACGTGTGCTAATAAAATTATGGATTCAAAAGACAACTTAAAGAAACAAATGTTAGGGTTGGAGAGATGACTCTGTTATTGAGAGTGCTTGCTGCTCTCCCCCATGATCAGAAGTTGGTTCCCAGAACCCACACTGGGCAGATCATAGCCATCTTTAATAACTCCAGGTTCAGGGTCTCCCATGCTCTCTTCTGGCCTCCACAGGCACCCACACAAACAAGCACAGCACATACATGTAGACATACACATACACACATACACAAACAAAAATTGAAAAGAATTCTAAAGAGTTTCTTCTTTAAAAAATATTGCATTAATATTAAACCTTCCTTTCTTAAAAAAATTTAATTGCGCCGGGTGGTGGTGGCGCACGCCTTTAATCCCAGCACTCGGGAGGCAGAGGCAGGCGGATCTCTGTGAGTTCGAGGCCAGCCTGGTCTACAGAGCGAGATCCAGGAAAGGCGCAAAGCTACACAGAGAAACCCTGTCTCAAAAAACCAAAAAAAAAAAAAAAATTTAATTGCAGGGCTGGAGAAATAGCTTAGTTGCTAGAGAGGTTGGCTAGTATGCTTGGAGCTCTGAGTGGAATCCCAGCAAGTATAAAAAGAGTGGCAGTTCATGCATGCCCCAGGAAGCAGAGGCAGTAGACCAGCCTAGCCTGGGCTACCTGAAACCAGACCATGCCTCTGTCCTCCACTCCCCACCCCATAAAGCCGCACTATAAGAAAGCAGGTGTCCCAATAAAAGAAAACGGAAGAGTAGTTATAGGTAAAGCCTGGTGGAAGCACACTCTTTGTCAATGCCCCTACCCTCCTGAATATCACATGCTTTCCAAATCTAGATTAGTCGGAAAGTACTCAAGATTTTTTTTTGTATTGGGACAAGCTTCTTAAAGTTTCATTTAAGACAATATCAAAATCACTTGCTTTTAAACATAAAATTGCAGAAGGAAATTATCACTACTATCATTATTTCTTCCACTCATTGATTTCTTTTTTTATTTAAATTTGTTTTGTTTTGTTGTTTTTTGAGACAGGGTTTCTCTGTTATAACAGCTCTGGCTGTCCTGGAACTCAATTTGTAGATCAGGCTGGCCTTGAACTCACAGAGCTCCTCCTGCCTCTGCCTCCCGAGTACTGGGATTAAAGGCGTGTGCCACCATTACCCACTTTATTTAAATTTTTAATTTTTTTAAGTTTCTGAGGATTTCGTGCATGAGTACTGTACTTACACCATTTATACCCCCTAACTCCCTTAAACGCCTCCATGACTGCCATTCACTCTCAAACTCATGACTTCTTCAGTTGTTATTGTTGCATACATACACACACAAACTACTGAGTCCATTTAGTGTTGCTCATATGCATGCGTATTTAGGGCTGACCACTTGGGGTTGGAGAAAACCAATTCTCCCTCTTCCAGCAACCATTGCTTGACTGTGGCTCTTTATGTAGAGGTGGGGCTTTGTGAAATCTCCCATCCACATTGGCATGTCAACTGGTAATGACATTGAGCCACCTTAATATTGCTTAAGTAAACTTTGGCTTTATGTCATCCTTGCACAGGGGCCATGCATATCTTCTCGGTATTATTGCAATGTTAGTATAAGTGTTGTCAAAGAGAGCACTTGATTAACTTTCTCTTCGGAAAATTAAGGTATGTGGTTAAAATAAACCTTTTTTTTTAAAGCATTGTTTTTCATTTTGAAAGTTAATTGAATTTACTAGTTAGGATTTAGTAATTATACCAAATTTAAAATATACCTATCTGGGACTAGGTACATAGTTAAAGTGTCTGTCATGTAATTATAAAAACCTGAGTTTAACCTCAGAACCCACATAAAAGAGTAGGGTGTAATAGGGTGTGCTTGTAATCTCAGTGCTGGGGAGGAGGAGACAGGTGGAGAGGGCCTCACTGGTCAGCTGGTCTAGCTGAATCAGCAAACTTCAAGCCAAGGAGAGATCCTGTCTCAAAAGTGAAGGTGCATGGCATCTGAGGAATGTCATGTACGGTTGACCGTTCTGGTTTGTATATGGTATATGCATACAAGTATAAAAGCATACTCCACACGTGAATATACACACATATGAGCAAACATACAAATGGAAATAAAGTACACATTTCTAAATATTAAAATATCCACTCTGCTGGCCAGTAGTGTTGCACGCCTTTAATCCCAGCACTCAGGAGGGAGAGGCAGGTAGATCTCTGTATGTTTGGGGCCAACCTGGTCTACAGAGTGAGTTTCAGGACAGCCAGGACTGTTACACAGAGAAACCCTGTCTCAAAAAAAAAGAAAAAAGTATCCACTTCATGTATCATTCATAATTGCGTAGCAGAGGTAGGGGGGCCCCCTCCCAAACACGGAGGAATTGAAGATGGCTAGAAGCAAAGAAGACCACTACATGAAGGGTGATTTCCCCCAGGGGGCATCAGTGAACATTTTTCTGTTGAAACTTGGCGAGGATTTGTTCCCACCTGGCACAACCCCTATAGTCAACCCTGCCATTCAGTTTAAGAGGTGCCACGTGGTGCTCACTGCCCTCCTTTTACAGAAGCGCCCCGGTTGCCTCTTGAAGAGAGACAGAGACCTCGACCTTTGAGGCCTGGGAGGATCTTGGCAGTCATGAATTTTGTCTTCTGTGGGACTCACTCTTAATCGGATTCGGCCTTGTGTGGTTGCCTATATCAAAAGATGACCCATTGAAATTCAAATGTAATGACAATGAAACGCCTCTATTCAGCACGGCCACTTTTGTTTTTATCCTAACTTCTTTGCATCAAAACGCTGTGGCTTTCCTTTTCCCTTCTATAACCCCGTAACTAGCTAGATAGAAAAGACCCCTTTGATAACTCATTCTAGAAATGAAATCCAGCATGTTCTAGCTTTCCAGCTTCATTTTTTAATACTCTAAGAGATTTGGATGTGAATTCTTGGGGCTGAAAAAAAAAGTCTTCATTTTGAAACATGCAAATGTGTCTCTCCATCACCTAGGAAACTATTATGGGACACCCAAACCTCCCAGCCAGCCAGTCAGTGGGAAAGTGACCACGACGGATGCCTTGCACAGCCTTCAGTCCGGCTCCAAGCAGTCGACCCCTAAGCGAACAAAGTCCTACAATGATATGCAAAATGCTGGCATAGTCCACACGGAGAATGAGGAGGAGGATGATGTTCCTGAAATGAACAGTAGCTTTACAGGTAAGAATAGATTGTGTCTCCTCTGAACAGATGTGCGAAAGTGGTGATTGGAGTCTTTATGGAAGGGTTCCAACCAGTGTTTGGGGTTATCAAGATTCAAACTGTGACCACTGGGTACATGGGGACAGGGGGTCCTTTCCTTGGTCTACGTACCGTGCTTGTTCCTAAAAGTCTTTGAACTTCACCCAAACCATCTTTACTGCACTAGGAATAAATAACTGCAGTCTCAACCTGATTTCTTTCTCTTCAAAATACTAAAAAACATGTTTAAAAAATTCTTTACTTTGTTGCTTGATTATTTTTATTTATTATTATGGGGGGCCTGATCATGAGACATGATCATGGTTGATCATGAATTGAAACATGAAAATTTGTTTGATCAGGCTGCTGTCATTTGAGGCTATACTGGTGAGCTCCCAGCATCCTCTTCTCATCTAGGTAAAGATATAATGGAACCAGCTCAGGTCTTCAGTTAACTTGTACAAATTTCACTGTATATCCTACAGGGGGAACGATAGAAAAATAAATATTGTAAGGTTCCACAGTGCATGTGCATGCTGCATTAAAGAGCATGGGTTACTGAGATGATACATATTATGAAGGGATGGTTAAGGATAAGGCCTCCGGGCACTGTAAGACCAGAGGCTGGGGTGCATGTTCTCAGTTAGTGAGCGTATTTTTCACAGTGTGTGGGTTTGATCTGTATGCTGTAGCTCAAAATGTAGTGATTATATAAATGGCTATGCAGTTCATTGTTTCCACCATGGCACAGACACACAGCCTATAGCATATATGGAGTTGCTAATGTGTTATGTGACTTACAAGTTCATCTTGTTTCCTCCACTTTGCCTGTATTTTTATTTCCTTTCCTGTCTCGGAATTGTAGCTATTGATGGTTTATCCATTTTCAGCATGTTAGATCCTTTTCTCTGCGTATCAGCAGACTTTTGTCATTATCTAGTTAGACCTAGCCAGAGTGAGTGAAAAGATTGGTCAGTCTGTATGCCTACCTCCCACCACAGTCAAGATAACTTAATAGGATATTCAAGAAAGAGCTATTAGAGTTGAACATCATATATAGCCTTTTGTACTTCTCAGAGGTTTTGCCAGACATTAAATTCAGAATCCTGAGGTGGCAATAAAAAGTTTTGGTAATTTTATTATCAGCAATAGTGTAGCTCAACCTTTTTGTGAGAAACATTGGGTAAAGAAGGAGTGCTTAGGTGTTATGGCTTGGCTTGTGGTGGTTTTCCTTTTATAGACAATATGCATAGCCTCACTTGTGTATAAAATGGCTGAATTAGGCTACTTCTAACTTTCTCTAAGAATTTGATTCTGTGAAATTTTCCATTTTTTTATTTAGAATGGAATAGACAGTGGCTGACCTTTAGTTGCAATAGCTAGAAGATATTTGCCATTCTTATGCATACTTTTATTAAATTCCGCTGATTTCATTCCTTGGGAATATTTTGTGTGTTTATCGTGTTCTTTTCCAAAATGAAAATGGACCATGCACAAGTGTTACCATTTCTTTTAAAAACCTCTAATACTTTAATATTGTAGTAGTTCAGCAGATAAGAATAGCGAATCATGATTTAACTCCCAGCAAAGAGGAGGTCCCCAAAGAAGATCTAGCAGCCAGATTTAGTGAAGCAGCTCTGCCAGCTCAGGGAGTAGACCTCAAGAGCGGTCCTGAGGAGTGGATGCCAGGAGTGGGCCCACGGAGTAGACCTCAAGAGCGGTCCTGAGGAGTGGATGCCAGGAGTGGGCCCAGGGAGTAGACCTCAAGAGCGGTCCTGAGGAGTGGATGCCAGGAGTGAGCACAGGGAGTAGACCTCAAGAGCGGTCCTGAGGAGTGGATGCCAGGAGTGAGCACAGGGAGTAGACCTCAAGAGCGGTCCTGAGGAGTGGATGCCAGGAGTGAGCACAGGGAGTAGTCCCGAGGAGTGACCCCAGGAAGAGTCTCCTCAAGTAGACTCCAAGAGGAGTCTTCGGTAGGCCACAGGAATATTCCCCAAGAGTAGATCCCTGGAGTGGACCCCAGAGTTAGGTCCCAGGAGTGGTCTCTAGAACTAGACCCCAGGAGTGGTTCCCGAAGGTAAGTTCCCAAGAATAAACCTCAGGAGTTGGCCCCAGGAATAAACCTCAAGAGCAGGCTCCAGGAGTAGTCTTTAAGAGTAGACTCCAGGAGTGGTCTTCAGTAGACCACAGTAGTGTTCCCTAAGAGTAGGCTCCATGAGAGGATCCCTGGAGTTGGTCCCAGGAGTGCCCTCCAGGATTTGTTCCCAGGAGTAGTCGCCTGGGGTTTGTTTCATGTCCTTTACCTGTCTTCTACATACATGTTAAAGAGGTTTCTTGGTAGAAAACAAGACCAAATTCATGGTAGTAGCTGCAGTTATTGGTGGGCTTCCTGTTTTTAACTACTGTATGTTTCTATTGGTAGAAGCCAGGTCTCGGAAAACCTGATTTTTTTTTTAATCACCCCCAGTTGAAAGTCTAGCATCTAAGGACAGCATGTGTTCCTAGATCATCATTGGTAAAATCAGTCTCATCATTAGTTTATACACAAAACAGAAAGCCAAATGATCACTAGTTGTGCTCTTTAGGTTCCCACCTTAGTACCAAGAAAGCAAATAGCATGTCCTCCAAAGGGATGGTCTACACTGGGGGGATAGCTCAGTGGTACAGTGCATGCCCAGTGTGCAAGTTCGGGGAGATTCCAGGTACTGCATCTGGGGATGGGGGTGAGGTGGGGTGGAGAAAGGAAGTAGAAAGGAAAAGGAGAGGGAAAAAGGGGAGGGGTAGCTCGATGTGTCTGTGTGATAGGATGACTTCAGTATGTAAGGAATATGTTGAATGAATACTAATTCAGAACACTGACACTGTCATGCACTAACTCAAACTGATGCTTTCAAATAATTAACACGCCTGTGATATATGTGTCAAAGGAGTTGCTTCAAAGCATTTTGCACCGTATACCTCTTCAAGTTGCAATCCGCCAGCTGCTCTAAGCTAACAGCTTCTTGAACAACAGTGGCATAATGAGGTCTTCACTCTGTTTTAGACTGGCTTTGCTAAAGTGGTGACACTCCTATCCAAATGTACAAGTACTATGTGCCCATTAAAAATGATACTCACCAGGACATTGAAAAAGAACCTGATATTGCTGCTGTCCCTCGCTTGGATCATTTGAAGAAGTTGTACCCCGTAATCATGCCTGTGTGACATTCAACGTCAATAGCAGGCCAACAGGGGAATAATGGCCACATGCATCCTGAGGGCACAGCCTGTGCCTTCTTTATGTGATGATAGCCGACACACACAATGAGCAGACACTAACCACAGGACTGATGGTTGAACTAGGTAGTGGGACAGTCTTCTACAAATGGCCCCTGAATTACAGAGCTAAGAGGAGCCACTGAAGG